CCAAGCACAGTATATAAGTACATAAGTATATCTATATTTGTATAATGATATTATCTTATCGCTGCTCTTCATGTTCTTAATTTAATAATATTTTAAATTATGTATATTGATTTCATCTGATTTCGCTATAAGTTGTTTCGATTTTATTAAGAAATCCGAATGTATTCATTTATGTCTCGCATATGGAAAGTGTATATAGATAAAAAAGAGAAAGGTAGACAAAAAAGTATCCGTAATTAAACAAGTTCTATTATGGTTTCTTATTTGTAATTTAGAAAGAAATTTATAATTGATACGCAAATCTAAACTTGATTGATGGATTTAAATAAATTTAGCTGATTATAAAGTAATTTTGCAGCTTGTATTGCTAATTTATTACATTAAATATTCGAGTAATTTATTGAACATAAACTCTTTCTATAATTAACAATTTAACTTTAACAATCAACACTATGTAACAAGGGGTTCGCTGAGTGTTATTCGCCCCGTTTATTTTAGACTTGCGATTCTGTTATTCTTGGACGGCATTCTATCTTTAGTTCTGGCACTCGTCTTGCCATAAGTGTTACGTTATAATCCTAACTTACGAGTACTAGATACACGTGATATTAAGAACAAACACATTATGTCATAGCAGAAATGTGAGGCGTTCTATTTTTCACTAACTGACTCATTATGTGTATAGTCACTGGTAAAAATTTCAACTGTTGCGATATTTCAGCGAAACAATATCATTCATGTTTTCACGTTTGAGAAAAATATTTTGCCATTCACATATGTAGCAAGAGTTATTGTTTAAAAATTTTGTTTTCATTGTTTAATGAATACGATGTAAAATAATGCTGCTGTATAAAGAGAAGAGCGTGTAAACTCAAAAATTGGATATGATGACAATGAATAAAGTGAGTCTCGCTACCTATCTGGAATTACAGATTAAACTAACGAACTTTAATCGATCATTAACTTAAATCATTAACTTAAATATTTGAGATAGTGTGTAAATATGTTTTATGTCAATACAAAACACAGAAATAGGCGACATTTTGACTCTCACTTTTATTTTCAACGTAAATACGAGAAATATACAATAGGAATTCTCGTCGAATTTAAAAGTAAAAATTAAGCAGTAAATTGTCTGGACCGCCTATTAGCGCAAAATTTCCATCATGAATAATTGAGTACAGCGATATGAGGGCGGAAACCATCGAACATTTTCAGTCGAACCCACATCAATCGTGAGCATCATTCTCATTCGATCCTCGTTCGCTTTAGCATTAGCGCTTCCTATGACGAAGGCCTTCCATGAAACGATTTTGCGTGTTACGTTCGTCTCAATGTCAATAGCAATCGAATGCGACAATATACTGACTGAAAAGTTCGAGTAATTAATTAGTGATTACCGTGTAATCGACGGTTAACACATAGAAAACCGATACAGCCGTTATTCGGATGCGGCACGCCTCTTGTTTGATGTAGATAACGATTATCTGCGAAAGAGAGATAATCCGTGTAGTCAACCAAGCGAGGAATCTCGGGATCCGAGATTATTGATGCGTACATAATTATTTTATAAATAATAATTATAGAAAACAAATATATATATATTGTATATATATATATATATATATATATATATATATATATATATATATATATAGTATA